ACTAATTGCACCTAAAATTCTATAAATAGAGCACAACCCTACCATGAGAGAGGGGAGGAGAACTTGAGGCATGGGAAATGTTTTTCTTCGCCCCTACGTCCTCGGGAGCAAAGCGTTTTTGTTGCAGGTTTGATTTTTTCAACAGGAAAGAACTTGAAGTTTTAAGAATGAGTCGAAGTTCAGCAGTACCCTTGTCATCGTCAATCGCTGATAGCCGTCATCGACTACCGCTAACCGCCTTCGACCACCGCCGAATGTTGTCGCCACTGTTGCCGACCCCCACCTGCCGCCTTCAGCAGTGTGATAAGTTGTTGCAACTATATTCATTCTTTTATAGTAAAACTTTTTAGTTGGGCAAGACTTGTGATATTTTCTTTTATAGATTTTTTACATAAAAACTCTTATATTATTACTTTATTTTCTCTTCTAAATATGTATTAAATCTTTGAATTAATTAAAATAATAATTTATCATTCTATCGCCGTAAATTTTCTAATATGCATGAATATCTAATAAAAACCTATTAGTTAGGATTCTTTAAGCGGACCCTTACAGTGGAGAAAATATTAGGTCAGGACTTTGGATGCATCTGAAATCCAATAGGGGGCAACACGTGTGAAGTGAACCAATCACAGTGTACTTTGATGGATCCACTTTACAAGTGGTGCCTCCTTTTTGGACATCGGATGATCCGGAGTCCTGACCTAATATTTTCTCCTTATAACGGCTTCTTAAAGGCTGTAATAAAATCTCACCAAAAAAAAAAAAATCCATCGTACACAATTATTTCGTGGGTGTATACCCAATAATATCTCAGAATTTGACATTTCATCACACGACTCCATATATAATTGAAGTCAACCACATAATCATAATAGTAATTATAAATAAATATATACATATGAATTCATAAAATTCAAATTTGTTGAATTTTCATCAAAGACGACAAGAATATAATCCTCAAGAAGTAGAAATATTTGTGTACGTAAGACAGCCCTAGAGCTGCATATATCTGGTAGTTTACAGAAAGGGTATTGGGGGTTATATTAGTAAGTTTCACACTTCTATTTTGATATATTTCTAAGTTACTAATAGGTTACACAGAGGTTATAAGAGGTATAACACGAATATAATCCTCAATACCATCCTTATAACATACCTAACATACGCAGCGTTGCGTACATCTTACATAGTCAAATATTTTCCCTCGAGAAGGTGACCAGATGTCGATCAGAATAAAAATATAAATTTTAATTGCAATTATAATTATTTATTTCTCATCTAAACAAAAAAAAAAATTACAATTTAAAACCCGGCGAGAAGCTTTCGAGGAAGTTCTCAGTTTTCATTTACAATTTCGCACGTACACACCACACATCAAAGCATGCGTGATGCAACCCGTTGACACCATTCAGCTTTGAATAGTAATACATGGTAACATATGCAGAGATATTTTTCAAATAATTAAAGCTGTTGAAATGGGTGGCGTCATACCCTGCTGTTGCATTCCTTGTGAAAGAGAGAGAATTTCATCATTTTAATGTAAGAAAATAAATAAATAAAAACTCGTGGGGCCCACTGAACGTCATAAAAAAATTTAAAAAAAATAGTGAAAATATAAAAATATATTTATATCATGGAAAAGAAAATTTTAGCCTAAGAAATGATTCAACTAATATGAATTATTATATATTATATAAGGTATTTTTTTATAATTAAAAGAGATACTATAATAATTAAGTCTACATGATTCTATGAACATTAGTGGGAGTGACATGCATAAGCATTGTTGGATATGATAGACTTTGGAAATACAATGTGGTGTCAATTTGGTTCGTAGGTTGAGATTGAGTCTGACTTGAAATTGATCCGTCTCGAAACTTGTTCTTTCTTTCTTTTGAAACACTGAATTTTATCAAGATTCGTGCTGACACGTTCTTGATGCACACATATATATACATGTATATCACTTAAATCATAAACAACACATAAAAAAATGTCACATACATTATCTTTTCAAGCATAAGTTCGTGATAACAAGATGTTATAAGTGTAAATATTGAGAGTCAGTATGTTAATACATAAGAATTATGTGCTGCATATGTAAATTTCCTATTTTTATTTAAAGTTGATTAAAGATGTCCATCAAAAGTTCATAAGTTATTTATTTAGTTGAAAATAAATTATTGTATCAATTCTTATAAAAATTGATAAGGGAGCCACAATAATAGTAATAAAAAATAAAAAAAAATATATTGATTTATATTTTAAATATAAATTAATTATCCATTGCTTACATTAAAACAAACCAAAATTCATGATGAAATTTCAAAACAAAATATAATTATACTTGCCCTCGATTCATCAAATCAAATGAGTTATTGGTTAACCTCATTAGGGATAAGGATTCTCTCAAGTTTTGAGTTTAATAATCACATCAATTAGGACTTCATGAATGAGGAAGCAAAGTAATTTGGCATGACATTGCAAGAGACATCATTATCTTAAACCTTTCAATATGATTGGTTTAATTCAAAGTTCTTAATAAGTTGAGAATCTTTAATTATGGAGGAAGGGAATCCTTCAAAAAAAATATATTGGTCAATTAATATATAAGTCTTTTTACTTGTCATCTAGCTATTATGGATCACAAATATATATTTCTTATTTAAGCTTTGAAGAGTGAAGGAGTTTCTATCCTTATATTTGGAATTCCATCATATATTTCACTCATAAATATGCTAATTTACCCTAATAATTTTGCTTTTGTTGATATTTAAAAAATTATTTTTATTGATTTGATTCATCTATGTAATTACCTACTGAGGCTGTTAGGGTTATCAAAAATCAATAATCTGTCTTAATTTTTTTTAAATTTTCAGATCTAATATTGTTTGTCGTCATAGATGAACCAAACCCTGCACGAGTTTATTTCTTTTGCATCTTATCTTCCAAGTAAAAAATCGATCATTAATCTAATCATTCTCGTCTCCGCAAACCCCATACATGGTTAACTACACACTTTGAAATTATTTTTATTGATTTGGTTCATCTATGTAATTACCTACTAAGGCTGTTAAGGTTATCAAAAATCAATAATCTTTCTTAATTTTTTTTAAATTTTCAGATCTAATATTGGCTGTCGTCATAGGTGAACCAAACCCTGCACAAGTTTATTTCTTTTGCATCTTATCTTCCAACTAAAAAATCGATCATTAATCTAATCATTCTCATCTTCGCAAACCCCATACATGGTTAACTACACACTTTGAAATATGTTTTTAGAAAAAAATATTTCATGTGATGTAAGAGTTGTCATTGCATTATGCACTGTAAAAATAGACTTCACAATGAAGGAAATCATGATAAATTTTACATCATATGAAATATCTTATTTAAAAAAAATATTTCGAGGTGTGTAGTTATTCACGTAAAGGGTTGTGGAGACGAAAATGCTTAGTTTTATTATTGGCTTTACAGCTGGAAACAAAATATGAAACAAATATGAAGGTTATATGATTGGAGTAGCTACAATTGCATACACCATTTGAAAGAGATGTCTTAATGGATTTAAGGATCTTCGACATACATAACATTAATATGATGTTAAGCAACCCGATTTTGATATACCTTTATGATGTTGGAACCTAGTAACCTAGTGGCTGCACTATGTAGAGCTCCTTCTTTAGATCTCCATGTAATAAAGCTATTTTTACATCCATTTGCTCCAGATGTAGATCTTCTTTTTCCTACCAGACTCAGTATAACCCTGATAGTCGTCATCTTCATCACTTGGGAGAAGATCTCTATGCAATCCACTCATTCTTTCTGCAAGAAACTTTTCACATTAAGTTTTGTCTTGTAGCGTTTCCTACCACTTGACTTCTCTTTCAGCCTGTAGACCCACTTGTTATGTAGTTCTCTTTTGTCATTTGGTAGTATAGTTAAATCCCAAGTCTGATTTGACTCCAAAAATTGTGTTTCTTCATCCATGGCGAGCTCCCACTCTATTGAATCTTCAACTTGAGTTGCCTCCTCAAAGCACTCTAGTTCACCACTATCGATTGGTAACAAATAGTGTAAATAAGGAGAATACATTTGTACGGGTCGTATCACTCTGTTGGATCTTTTGACTTCCGTAGCACGTGACTGAGGAGCTTACAATGCTCTTTCTGGTTGTGCACTGTTTCTTTCTTCATCCTCATCATCATCAGTATCTTATATCTAAACATATATAGATTATTCAGAAATAGCTTATCCGGAGTTCCAACCCTATCCTTGTATATCTCAATTTCATTAAAATGGCATCCCTTCTCCTGATGAATTTCTGATTCTGATAATCCTAGATCTTGTAGTCAAATTTATTTGAGTCATATCCAATGAAGATGCATTTGACAGATTTTGAGTCAAGCTTGCTCCAGGACTCCGCATCAACATGCACATATGCAAAATATCCAATTACTTTTAAGTGATATAGACATACATTTTTGTCACTTCAGACTTCTTCAGGTAAGATTTATGTCAAAGGCACTGAAGGACTATGATTGATCAGATAAATTGCAGTGTATACTGCTTCAGCAAAAAACTATTTTGGCAAGCCTGCATGCAGCCTCATGCTCCTAGCATACTCTGTAATTGTTTTATTAATGCACTATGCTAAACCACTCCAGTATTCTTGGGACAATGAACTCATGCCTGACCCCCTATGTAGCAAAAAAACTCCAAAACTTTAGATCACGACAATCATTCCCATTATCTGAACTGAGACACTTCAGCTTCAAGTCTGTCTCATTTTCCACTATAATCTTTCCTACTATACTGCAAGCATTCTTATCTCTCAAATAAACCTTACATAGAACACTCTGAGTGTAGTTTTTAAATACCTCTTTATTGG